TGGATGTTTTTCCTCTTGCTGTGTCCAGACACCTGCCAGAAACAACTTCAAAGGCAAAGTGTTTGATCTAGCTCAGAGTCTAGAGGATTCAGTCCATGGTGGGTAAGGCATGACAGAGTGGATCTGTGCCAGGAAAGAGAGAGCTCTGCTTGATTTCTCCTCTTACCATGTCCAGTATTTCCAGTTGCTCAGCCTATGGCATGGAATGACTCATAGTCAGGATGAGTCTTTCCTATAAGTCTCCTATTTTCTCTGTGGGCACATCCTCACAGTCCCACCCACAGGTGTGCCTCATTAATCTTTAGGGTAATTCTACATATAGTCTAGTTGAGAAATAATTATCATAGTCAAGAACTTATTAGAACTACAGTTATCAGGGGTAACCTTCCACCTAGGAGATTCTGGTGCCCAGTGATGTTCATGCCATCCTGGGGAGTTGGGTGCTTGCTCAAGTTCGAGGACCACTGAGCAAACCAAGGTTGAAGTGGTCCCTGTGCTTTTGATATCAACCGCATAGGACAATTACAGAAAACCACTTTTAGAGATGCCTTTGAAGATTACATAGGAGTTGGGCTGGTAGTATACATCTTTATTTCCAGCACTTGGTAGGCTGATGTGTGAGTCTACAGACTTTAAGGTCAAACTGGGCTCCATAATGAGACCCTGTTTTAAGGCAGAAAAACAAGGAATCTATAGAATTGTTTTCCACATAGCTTTCCAATTTGTTTAACTCAAAATTCTGCAAACTGAATTGACCCCAGAATTCTTCCAACCTCTACAATGCTCCTGGTCATACCTCATTAGCTATCAACACCATTTATTCTTTTTCTCCCATTCAGAATAAATTTCCCTGAACTTGGATGTAGTAGCATTTTCCTGCTTGGATTTCTAATATTTATCTTGGGTTCAGTCTTGGGGAAGAATCATGGCTGCTCTTCTCAGGCCACTGAAATGAGGGTTGCAGAAAGAGTTTGGACTTGGAAGGCAGCACATCTGGGTGGGATGGAAGATGTACTGTTGACTAGCTCTAGGAATATGGGTTTTTATGAGGTGTTGGAAAAACCATATACCCATAATGAAATGAGTGCAGTATTTATAGTTAGATAGGTAATACAAGTACAGACATAGACATCTTTCAGCTTTGGCCTGTTAGCCTCAGTTTTTGCACTGATAAAATTGGAGGTGATATTAAAACAATAAACATAAAAAATGACTTGTAAGCAGTATCGGTTAAAAGGTTAAGAAAGTAGTATTTCCAAAAAATCTGTGAAAACTATAAAGTACTATAAAATGCCATCTATTATTATGCCAAAAGCCATGCTTGCTGAGGGTCTCCATCCCTCTGCCTGGCCTTCAGTAAGTGATGCAGAAGCTTCAGTTCTCTTTCAGACAAGCAGAGCCCCAGAGCACTAGAGTAATGCTTAGTCCTAAGGGACCTTGTTCTTCTGACAGGTAAAAATGATTTGTAAACAGCACAGGCTCTGTTTTATGTTCCATCTTCCTTAGTATTGATTTGTTTATCAAAATTTTTATTTATAAGAAGCACAAAAATAAAGCAGCCCAAATTCTGCAGGATGCATCACAGGTTCTGAATTAATGAGGTCCAAATTTATGAGGGCTCTGGATTGTTTCCTCCTTTCTATGATGGAATATGGGAACAATTGTGCTTGTTATGGAAGAGAGGGTGCTGGTGTGCCTTTGGTTGGTTCCATGTACCTTTTCCATGCCTCCCTTCTACTCTTGAGAAAGATGGCTTGACCAGCTGCTAGCAGCTGTCACACAGCTCGAAATTTGGGCAGAAGTCTTCAGTTCAGCACTGACAGTGCCATAAAGGTATGAATCTTTACAACAGTTCTCCAACAAGAATGTCCCCTGTGGAAAGCTGAAGAGTGAATGATGTAATGTGTTTCAGAGTCAAGGGACTAGTGGCAGGATTCTCTTGTGACTTTGTTATTCCGGAACCAGGTATCCTGAAATAATTACAAGCTCTTGATTCCTATCTTGTGTCTGCTAAATCCACCTATTTAGAATGTTTCTAGTATTCTGATCCATGCCCAGGTTTGGGAACTGGGATTAGAAGGAAAGGACTGGGGCATGCTTCATTTTCCAGAGGAAGAGTTCTGGAGCCCTGAATATAAACAGCTCTTGCAGGGGCCCCAGAAAATGGTCAGTGACCTCCCCTGTTCACAAAAGTCTTCAAATTTGGCTTGTTTCTACTTGTCCTGGGTCAGGCAGTGGATGTCAGCCCTGGCTGTTCACTAGAAACCAAAGGAGCTTGTTTAAAATGCTTCTGATTCACTATTCACTGGACTCCATCTCTCTCTCTCTCTCTCTCTCTCTCCCTCTCTCTCTTTTCTTCCTTCCTTATTGGTTTTTCTATTTATTGACATATCAGATGCCTTCCCCTTTCTGTATTTCCCCTTCCTAGAAACCCCATATTCTATCCCCCCCATCCTTTTTGCTTTTATAGGATTTTAATTACATGCAGGTATTAAGGTCATTTCTAGGTTGAGGAACTAGCAATACAGTAGATGCAAATAGTCAAGGAACAAGCAAGGCACTAAACAAAATTCCATGAACACTCCCGTGATTACTGTTTCTAGGTGCTTATCAGGATGAGCAAAATATCTGAGCCAACTTCCCTGTCCTAGCCCAAAGTCATTTTCATGTCTGAAGCCTAGTTCCTTGTTCTAGCCTAAAATTTAGATTCCTGTCTGAAATTACTTTTGTGTTCTAGCCTAATATTTAGATTTCTGCCTGAAATTATTTCTTTGTTCTAGCCTAAGATTTAGATTCCTATCTGAAATTGCTTCTTTGTTCTAGCCTAATGCCAGATTCCTGTCTGAAGCCCACTTCCTTGTCCTTGGCCCATGTCAAATTCTTGCCAAGCAGTCCCAAAAGCTTTCCGCCTCCCCCCCACACTTTTTATTTCATAAACAAGACTGAGCCTATCTTAGGTTGTTCTGCCAAGAATGCCTTCCTTACCCATAGTGGAATATGCATTATCAAAAGCAATGCACTTCTGTCTTAGGTTGGTAAGGCTCTGTGCAGAATCTTACCTATCCTTGGCTTGCCAGCCTGTTAATTTAATAACTGTGTCTGAGTGATCCATTTTCAGGTTCAAGTCATGTACTTTGGCTGCCAACATATTGATGTTGTTAAAGACAAGCTTTAACGTCATGGGCAGGAATAAAAGTTTTCCCAGGGCAAAAAGAGCTAGCATGATCAAGCTATATATGCCATTCTTGGAGCTTGACCAAAATATAAATACTGACCTCAGGCCATGGGTTATTTTATCAGCAACACTGAACTCTTTCTGAGTTAGAATGTCTTAAGCTTGTCTGTGCATCTGAACTTTTTAGAGTTCCATGTGATTCCCAGTTTACCCTGTGTTGGGTAAATGTCTCCAGAACATGCTTTGCTAAGAGAAGACAATTTTGTTTTGTTGGCATGAGATGCATTTTTTCTAGATGTTTATTTTTGTGTTTACATTAGAGAATTTGGCATTCACTATAGAAATAAATTACAAAATAATAAAAGGTTAAAAAGAGAAATAATTAGCTCTTAGATGACAAGGTACTTACATATTTTCTTTCAAACATTTTCCTATGTGTTTTTTTTTTAATTCACCAGCTTGATACTGCTGTCATCATATTTAATATCTAATTTTCAAAACTTTTTGACTTTATATATTACAAGTTCAGTTTGTAAAGCACACTGTGGCAATAAGACTGCTTAGTGACTTTCCTTCATATCTGTGTGTATGTACTGAGTGTGTTCTTTGGTAGAGTTAATTCTTTACAGTGATTATAATGCCTGTGTTTCAACCACATCATAGAGTCCTATTTGAATGTCAAAAGTATAATATTAACTTCTTCCTCTCTAAATTTCTTCTTTCATGGTCCTTAACCTGCCCTTGCTTTTCCTTACCTCAATGCATATGAAGATGTATATTTCTTACCAGTTAGAGGATTGAGTTTTATTCCATGAAATTGAGAAAGGAAAACAGAAAGATGTTGCCAGTGTTTTATAGCTACCATTTCACCTGCTATCTCAGCTGTTGCTGTGTTTCTTTCTAACTTGCTAGTCTGTGGTCCCACAGGTTGTGTATGATTCATGGATACTCACATGCCTGTGTGCACGTGCACACACACATACATATACATAGAGAGAAGGGGTTGGAGAGAGAGATGAGAGAGAGAGAGAAAGAGAGAGAGAGACAAAGAGAGAGGGAGGAGGAGGAGGAAGAGGAGGAAACGGGGTGCTATTAGACCCATTCCTTCATGCTTTAGAAGAGAAGAAAACAAAGGTAAAAAGCAAAAAGAAAACCATCTAGTAACTGTAGACAAGAACTTGGGCAATACAGAAAAGTAACACTCATGCGCCAGTCTTTCCAAAGTAGCTCTGTATCAGCTGTTTTTAAAATGCTTTTTGAAGACTTTATTAGTTTCCTATTTTTATGTGTCTAGGTGTTTTGCTTACATGTCTTGTCAATGCATCACATGCATGCAGAGGGCACAGAGGCAAGGAGAGGGTGTTGGACCCTCAGAATTACAGATGCTTTAACTTGTCATGAGTTGATCAGTGTGCAACTCTACTGTAAGTTGAGGACCATCTATAAAGCAACATTCTAGTATACTTAGTGGTCACTCTGAAATGCCACAGTCCAACCATGTTTTGCCCTTTCCTCTTCTACTTCCTATGTAGCATTAATCTTTGTCATATATATATATATATATATATATATATATATATATATATATATATTGCTGTGTATATAACATATGTATATATGTCTGTATATATAGCAATATATTCTCAGTAATATATATGTGTATATATTATATTTACTATAATATATATAATATTTTCCTTGACCTTGTGACTTAGCTGCTGGTTTGAACATAAGCTCACCATCATTGTTGGGCAAGATGGAGCTGTTATTGTCTTCTGTATTGCTGTCATGAATGTGTCAGGTAATTCTGCCCATCTTCTTGCAGGGCATTATGGGAAGGATGCTTACCGAAGTGGAGGACCAGATCTCCATAACTTCATCTCATCTGGATTTGTCACATTAGGAAGAGGACATACGAAGGGTACAGTGGAAACCATTTTTTACTAAAATACAGAGGTTGCCTAGGGAACCCCAATCTGAAATGTGAAGATGGTGTAGAGTCCTGAGTCTCACCCAGGATCTGGAATAAGTGGGGTGGTTCCATGGCAGCATGCCCTGGGCACAGAGATGACCAGGTGGTCACATTTATGACTTTAGAGGGCAAAAGACCTCCAAGACACATCCATCCTGCTCTGTACATGATGGGGACACAAATGATGGTGGCTCCCTGTGGGAAGGGACCACAGGCAGCATGGTGAGAAATGCTATCAATGGATGCAGAATTTGTAAAGTGTGTGTTTGCCTCTGGGCTGTTATTCCCTTCCCTTTCAAAAGTCCTATCTTATACCCAATGTCAATGTTCTGTACTGTGAGTTTCTAAGCCAGTGTGTATGTGGACAGCTCCGGCTTCCTTGGTGTGTCTCTGTAAAACTCTGTGATGTGGGCACAAAGGTAGAGGATATTCAGACCTTCAAGCTGCAAGATGAAAGCTAAGCTAGTGTTTCTGCCAAGCTGCTTTACTACCTAGCTGACAGCTTGCAGAGCATCTGTGCAGGGGTATGGAATCCTCCCCGATTCTGTCTTTTGTTTAAATAGTCCTACTAGTGTTGTGAGCATTCTGTCACTGGATCCCTGACTCCTTTGATTACCTTCCCAACACCTGTGTGCTGTTATAGACCAAATGTGAACCCTGTTGTTGGGATGTTCCATTTCTGTCTTCCTTTGAAATATTTGTCTGTTTCAAGTGTGAGTGAACAAGGACTTCACATTTTCTTACCTTCTGTGCTCTTACTTTTTAAATTCCCTGTGATGTGTGTTTATCCTATAGAGAAAACGATAACTGTATCTGTGTATGTATTTTCTGTTGTCTATTTGTGTCTAAATAAAGTTTATTGAGGATACAGGTGGCATTTGTGGCTATTAAGAGTTGAAGCTGTTACAGAATGGGGGATGGGCTACACAGTTGAACACAACCAAACTACCTCATGACACTTATACCAACTCAAACCTGGAGTTACTAGCCCCTACATCTCCACTTAGTGGTAATTACCAATTGCCATGAAACAGAGGCTTTAAAACTCAAAATTTTAGAGCAAAAGAAACACTTATTATCTGCCATGGTTTCTGTGGGTTGGGGATTTGGGAGCTACTGAATTGGGAGGCTCTTGTGTGAATTTTCAGTTACCATGTTAGGCAGAGCAGGATCATCTAAAGTATTGACTTGTGCTGGCACATATAATTTCAAAATGTCATACTTCCATGGTACTATATTGGCAGGAGGGCTCCATCCCTTCCTATCACGCTTTCTCTGTGATCTCCTTGAGTGATTTCATGATGTGTTGGCTGGATATCCCTGGAGTTATTGATTCACAGAAGAAAATGACACAAGCCACAGGGTCTTTTGGTCATACAGAACATGATTTTCACAATATCTTGTACATGTGAGTTCTTTTCAGGACAGGAGATGGATATCCAGAGACAAGAATTATCTGGAAGGTCAGGATATTGGGAACCATTTGGAAGGCTGACTTTCTATTACATATACCTCATGGAGAGAAGTTACAAATCTGCTTTTCAAACAGGATCCAACAACTTATCAAGACTTCCCAACTATGTGGGTTCCCACTCTTATCCCAACCCCTTGAAGGTGGTTCAAGCCATAACACCAAGCAGTGAACTCTTTGTATTGAACAGAAAGCAAATAGGAGGCAAAATACAAGGTATTCTGTGTTATTCAATTTGCACTGGGGAAGCAAAGTCATTTCTTGATAGCATGTAAGAGAATGGCAGTGGAGGAGGGTGCAGAGATGCCCGGGAGGGAGGGAGTTATTCCTGTGAGGGATGAATACTGAGGTCAAGTGGACAGAGACTTGCACCCCAGGAAGGGAAAGGATTGAAATAGAAGCTTTCTTATATATTAGAAATAGGAAGGAAGTGTTTATGGTCATATGAAGCAGAAGAGCTACAAGGCTGTAGGAGGTTTTGGGATTGTTCCAAGGTTACCTGGGAGACATGATGAGAATACCAGAGCTACTGCACAGTAAAGATCTTTCTAGACCCCATGAAGGATTCCTGAATCAATAATTTTCTCTAGGTGTTAGTAGCTAGAGAAGAGACTGGATGTGATCAACATTGATGTCCAGTAAGACACATCATGTGGTCTGAGGCAAGAAACACAAGAAGGAAGCAAGTGCTAAGGATGATGCTGAGGTTTTCAAGCTGAAAAGCCCACAGCCCTTATGTTGAGTTAATAATCTCAGCAACAAAAGAAGTTGCAATGTGTCTCTCCATCAGTTTAAGCCCCAGATATGAGCAAGAGCTGTGGTGTGGCTTTGGATATTCTAGAGATTGCACAAATAACACCCAATTTATCTCTGACTCTCTGAAAAGGGAATGAAGCTGGGATTTGGCTTTAAAATTATTAAAATGCATAGATTTTAGCCAACAGTGATTCTGGGCAAATGGCCTAACAATAATAAGAGTATAGGAGAATACATGGTCAATGAGATGAGAAGGGGATATTATATTACAAGAGGGACATTTGGGAAGGCAGCATGGTGGGAACCACTGCCCATAGACCCAGACTTTGCTGTATTTGTTCTTGGGGGGAAGAAAACAGAAGTATGAGGTTTTCTGTCTGTATCTATCTATAGCTTTGGGTAATGACCAAGGCCAAGGGACTACTTGTGCTATTCAAAGGCTGGAGGAAGGAGAGATGTTAAGGCTGCTTTCTGAGACCCACTTCCATGCTTCAACTGAGAACATGTCCACTAAGCACACTCTTCTATGTCTGAGCTCAGTGCTGTCTCCCTGTAGCTCTTCACCAGGCTCATCCACAAGTTTGGCCCACGTCACTCTGGGACCATGCTGACATCTCCCACCTGTACATTGGTCAAATGCTATAGCAGTTATCTTTTCTGTAAGGATTTAAATCAGATATTTTCTCCTAGAAATAAGAGGTGTGTATACATGGGACTCTGTGGAACCATAGAGTGCCATGCACACGTTGGAATCTAAGCATGAACTCGCAGATCATAAATAGATTATAGCAAGAGACTCATGAGCCATTTGACTGAAAGAATCTAGCTTACACACTTTCACAGTCTCAGGAGCCAGGGGAGTGAGTGGGTTGAACTGTACTAAGGTATTTGAAGGCTGGACTCCAGATAAAGCACAGAACTCAGAAGGCGTCCTAATCTCCATGGCAACAGTAAAGCAGGATGAACAGCAAGAGAGAATGTTCAACCAGCTTGACTGAAAATGGCCTGCGTGGAGCTGGTACTACATAGGACCATTCTGTAATGTGGTTTTCTATGAGGGAGGTGTGTATGGGCCCAAGGATACAGAGCAGGGGGAACTCTTGGGTTCATAACCAATGGTGTTAAGACCCTATGCTGCCACCACTTACTGTCTGATCTGTATACATAGGACAACTTTCATGTATGGTCCATGTGACTAAATACCAAGAATCAGCCATTGGCTGTGAATATTTAGAGATTTTCAAGGTTATTTCACATGATCCTACACAAGGCACAGGATTTTCTCTAAATCCAATGGTTAGAAAAGCACATGCCAATCACATGGTGCTGTTTTATTATAATTGAGTCAATTTCACATGATAAATAGTTGTTAAAACTGATGTATTACAATCAAAGTTACACCTGAACTAATGGAGAATGCTGACTTCATGCAGTGTATCCACCTCCTGATATACCTGCTTTTCAGAAAAAAAAAAAGATATCAGAGAAACAAAACCCACTACAGTACCTTTGAGAGTCTTAGTTGGTTTCTTCTGTTTGCAAGCTCATCCATTTTGCTCAACAGTGGCTATTCTACAAAGCTCTTCATGTGATATAGGCCTGTTAACAAGAATACACCCTACCCTGCAGGAAACTGAAAGGATTCTACCACTCATCTGGCCAGAACTCTGTCCATATCTAGAGCAGTGCCAGCAGCAATTCAACCATGGGAGGCTATGTGAAGATCATGGTTTCCTACATACATTTCCTGATCCACTCAAAGTCTACCTGTGAGTTAATACAACCCTGTTGGTCTTTGTAGCACCTACTTGAGGAAACAGGCTACTTTGCATTGAAGAAGTCAGATTACAGGCTGACCAAGGAAATAGATATCATCCCTCTTTGGCTCAAGTCATTCTGAGAACTGATTAGGTTGAAATGACGCACTGTCTAATATCTTGGCATGATATCTGAACTCTATCACTCACTGTCTTGATTAATGGTGTCCTTGAAACTTAATCTACATTAAGTCCTGACGTAGCAATCTGAGTCCTGGACACATATGTCCCTGGGTTATGCTTATTTGTAGACCTGCCATCATTTGCCCATGTGGCTATCTGGGCCAGGTTTGTAAAATATTCTGTCGGAAATAAGGGGTAGTAGACAGAACAGCCTAAGCATCAGGACATACTGCAAAGGATCCCTGCTTTAGGAAATGTGAATTCGTCCCTCTAAATATGGATACCTGTTTTAGAAGCAGAAAATCTTAGATATTACTAGATTTTCCATGGTCCCCAGTAGTGGGATAGAGAAGGCTGCAGCAACTTTGGAGTGATGTGTTTACTCTTTATTCTATAATATCTATCATTCTGTCTCCTCCAAGACAGGAGGGAGGCTTGCGCAAAGCCTGTTATACCTTGGAGTGCAGTGCTGTCCTCAGTGTCTCTTTGGGAGAGATGAGAGCATCAGGTTCTTCAGATTTGTTTTTCTGGAGGATCTCTCTCCCAACCAATCAGGCGGCTAGTCTCCTGTTTTGTGATTCCTTGCTTCTGCTATGTTTATGTTCTCTTTCCCTGAGCCTTGACTTCAAGAACAGGTTTGTGGCCATTACTACATGGCCTGGGTAGTACTGACCGTGGTGCTGACTGGTCATCCAAGTTGGGAATCTCCCCTGCCATGAGCCAGTCGGCATTTGCCTCCCTAGTCCTCTGCCATGTTCTAACAGCCAAGCAATGTGACTATA